TATTTTCCATCATTAAAAAAGCCTCACTCATGGTTTTGATAAATCTAATAGTCTTTTCCAAATATGGCTGCTGGCCTAGCAAAGGGGCTGACCTCTGTTTCATCCCTTCTTTTGCGCTTAGTAACACTGGCTCAATTCTCTCAAAATTTCATACTTTTGCTCTTTCTGTTCCTTCTATTGAAATGCCTTCCTTCTACCTATCTGTCATTGTACTTTGAAATCTTGCAGATTCATCTTCAAATTCTAGTTCAGCTATTCACTAGTTCATTCTTAGGCACAGAGAGCTGCCCTATTGAATGGTAGCCACAATTCTTATTCCTGACTTGTCCATAAAGGATTGGAGATAAAGTTGTGAAGTTTTTAACATAACGCCCACAGCTAATAGTCAATATTCAATAGCTATTCTTATTAGGCAGGACTCTAGTAATTCACCATGAAATGTTGTATCCTTCTACTGAAAAGAACATAACGAAGTACTAAACTGTTTGCTTGGTAATACATCTTTTGGTACCAGAATAACTCAGAAGTGCAGTTTTTATACCCAGATTACTTAAACCTGAGTACCCTCTTGATTTTCATATCCAGCTATGGAATCCTACAGTAAATTATGATTAAGAGACAGTTGCTTAATAAGAGTCTTGGAACTTAAAATTAAGAGCAAAAATAGCTAAAGAAACTATATGCAAAGTATCTTTCTCTCAAACCAAACAAGAGCTTTTAGTGGTATATACTGCTGGAATAGTGCCCAGGTGAAAGTTTTCCCTGGAAGCAGGAAGAGTGGTTTGGTTTCATTACAGTGAATTGTTCCGTGTTATGGCAGGTTACTGACAAAGGATGTGAAATCTTTTTAAGACAAGGTAAAAAATTAGTAATAGTAAAGTATATGATGAGATTTGTACTTCTGGTTGATTACAAGCATTGACCTGCCTGGGAGAGAATTTGTGTCTCAAGCCCATTGAAGGACTGAGGTCACTTGGGTAAATTCTTCAAAACCTAGATAAGTGGTGTGTCTACAGAAAATAGTGCCTAAGGGAATTAGTTTTTAATTCCTGAGTGATCTCTCAGAGTTAGTCAATAAAACCTATTCATTGGTGCCTCTGCTCCACCCCCTCAAGTGGCACCCATGACTCATGCCATACCTGCCAGACTCCTCTGACCAGACTGTAAAGGTCTTCTAGTGCTTTCCTCATTCTGATAATCCTGTAGATTTTCAAGTTCAATTTGACATCTTTAATCAATTTGTAGTTAATTTGTTTAGTTTCAGTCTTATTTTTATTATTATAAACAAAGGGGAAACATTAAAGATCATCCTTAATTTCTCTGTATTAATGCAACTATCTTAATTTTGGGATGTTCTAGTTGGTCTTTATTTACCTGTTGTTGTTCTTGTTGTAGGTGCCATTAAGTTGATTTTGACTAATGGAAACATTATGTAAAACAGAACTGAACACTATGGGGTCCTGTCCCATCCTAACAATTATTGTTATGTTTGAACCTATTGCTGCTGCCACTATGTCAATCCACCTCACTAGGGGTCTTCCTCTCCTTCACTGACCATCCACTTTACTCAAGTCCTTTTCCAGGGATTGGTCCCTCTTGATAACATCTCTGAAGTACAAGAGACAAAGTCTTGCCATCCTGGCTTCTAAGGATTATTCCGGCTATACTTTTTTTCCAACACAGATTTGTTTGTTCTTCTGTCAGTTCATGGTACTTTTAATATTCTTCTCCAACACCTTATTTCAAATATATTGTTCTTCTATGATCTTCCTTATTTATTGTACAACTTTCACATGCATATGAGACTATTGAAAATACCATGGCTTGGGTCAGGCACACCTTAGTCTTCAAACTGATATCTTTGCTCTCTTAACACTTTAAAGAGGTCTTGTGCAGCAAATTTGTCTAATGCAATACGTAGTTTGATTTCTTGGCTGCTGCTTCCATGAGTGTTGATAGTGGATCCAAGCAAAATGAAGTCTGACAAGTTCAATCTTTTCTCCATGTATCAAGTTATTATTTATTGATCTAATTGTGAGGATTATTATTTTCTTTATATTGAGATACAATCCCTACTGAAGGATTCAGTCTTTGATCTTCATTAGTAAGTATTTCAAGTCCTCTTCGGTTTCAAAAAGTTGTATCGTCTGCATATAGCAAGTTATTAACAAATCTTCCTCCAATCCTGATGCCATGTTCTTCTTCATACAGTCCAGTTTCTAAGATTATTTGCTCGGCATCCATACTGAATAAGTATAGTGAAAGGATATACCTTTCCTGATTTTAAACCATTCAATATCCCCTTGTTTTATCCTAACAACTGTCTCTTGATCTATGTACAGATTCTGCATGAGAACCATGTAGTGTTCTGGAATACCATTCTTCTTAATGCCATCCATAGTTTGTCATGAGCTACATGACAAAGTCAATAAAGCACAAGTAAACATCTTTCTGGTATTATATGCTTTCAGCCATACCAAATTCCACATCCCCTTCTGAATTCGGCTTGAAATTCTGGTAATTCTTTGCTGATACATTGTGGCAATCATTTTAAAATTATATTCAGCAAAATTTTACTTGCATGTGATCTTAATGATATTGTTCGATGATTTCCACATTCTATTGAGTCATCTCTCTTGGTAATGGGCACAAATATGAATCGTTTCCAATCTGTTGGCCAGGTAGCTGTCTTCCAAATTTCTTGGCATAGATGAGTGAGCACCTCCAGTGTTGCATCAGTTTGTTCAAATATTTCAATTTGTAGTCCATCAATTCCTATTGTGAATTTGTTGATTTTTCTTCAGCTTCAGGCTGAACTTGGATATTAGCAATTGATGATCTGTTCCAGTTTACTCCTGGCCTTGTTTTGACTGATGTTATTGCACTCTTCCATGGACTCTTACCACAGATACTGTCAAATTGATTCTTGTGTATTCCATCTGTTGAGGTCCATGTGTATGGTCCCATTTTATGTTATTTGCAAAGAATAAGTCACTGGTATTGCAAAATTATATCATGATATCTGCAGCATTATTTCTGTCTCTAAAGCCATAATTTCTAACTACTGATTTTTCCTGTTTCCAACTTTCTTGTTCCAATTATCAGTAGTCATTAATGCATCTTGACTGAACGTTTGATTTATTTCAAACTGAAGAAGTTAGTAGGATTCTTCAGTTTCATCATCACTGGCTTTACTGGTTGGCATATAAATTTGGATGATAGTAACTAGTCTTCCTTGTAGGTGTATATATAGTATCTTTCATAGACAGCATTGCACTTCTGCACTTCAAGATAGTCTTGAAATGTTCTTTTTTAAGATGAATGTGATGCTATTTGCCTACAATTTGTCATTCCCAGTATAGTAAGCCATGTGATTGTCTGATTCAAAATGACAATACTAGTCCATTTCAGCTCACTAATGACTAGGATATGAATCTTTATGCATTCCATGTAAAAAATTTTTTTTTCTTGCCATTTGCTTTATTGTACTATTTCTCCTCATTTTGAGTTGTGTCCCATCAGCAAATGAAGTTCTCAAAACTATGCTCCATTCATGCCATTATGTCTACTTTGAGGAGGCAGCTCTTCCCCAATTATATTTTGAGTGCCTTCCAATCTGAGGGGCTCATCTTCTGGCAATGTATCTGAGAATGTTCCATTGTTACTCATGATGTTTTCATCTTCTGGTACTATATCTGACAATGTTCCTCTGTTATTAATAAGGTTTACAGTGGCTAACAATTCAGAAGTAGTCTGCATCTTCCTTCTTCCTAGTCTGTCTCAGTCTGGAAGCTCCACTGAAACCTGTCCACCATGGGTGACCCTGATGGTATTTCAAATACTGGTGGCATAGCAAGCCACAGCAGTATGACAAACTGACAGACTAGAGATGTTTTTAATTGTTTATTTTTAACTTATTATTAAGAAACAAGTAGGTGAATAAGTATTTCCCAACTTATTTCTTGGAATTCTGGTGTGATGCTACAGGATAATGCACTAGACTGCAAGGTCAGTTTGAATCTTAAGGTCGGCAGTTCAAACTCACCAGCCACTCCTCATAAACCCTATACAGGGTTGCTATGAGTTGGAAGCAACCCAATGATATTAACAACAACTTATTTCTTAATTAGCCATCACAGTAAATCTGAAAGAGTTATACTATTGTCTGATTTATTACTAAAGAAATGAAAGCAAAAAGAGGTCAATTAATCTTGCCCTGAGCAACACATATGATACATGTGGAATCAGGAGTAAACGTCAGGAATGACTTCAAAACCTGTATATACTCTTTTCTCTTATACTTTACTGTGATGTTAACAATACAACTTACCACATAATTTATATAAATAGCATAATTTTGTTCATTATATTTTTATTTATTATCCATAATGATAACACTCTGAAATTGTGTCATCTGAAGCTCACCAACCCATCCCTAGAAAAACTGCCAATAGTTTGTTAGCTCTAAAGACATTGTAGGAAGTTATTGAAAATGAGAGGAGAAAAATAGAATTAATGTAACTGATAGATACTGTTTTCATTTGAAAAATAATATGCAATTTTAGATCTACACCAATTAAGAGTCAATTGCTAATCAAATTTCCCAAGTCACTTTGGGATCTCTAATAATCTAATTAATATCTCTGTGAATGAAATGTACAAGTAAGCACCTGAGCAGCAAGTGCTAATGAATTATAATTCATAGAAGACAAGCAGCTTCCATTTACTTTATAGGTATAATTAAGGAGATGCTTGCCTTTTCATCTGGGCATCATTCCCATGTAGAAAATGGTGCCTAGAATGAGCTTTGAACTGCCAGTCATTTTCACCTATTTCTCCACCAGGATTCCAACTCGAAGGAGGTAAGCTCAGGAAACTTTGATCAGATACACTAAGGAACTTCTAAGTGACTGCTCAGAACTGTAGCTTGGCTCCTAATCAAGTTTGAAATGATCACAGTCACAGTGTTAATTGCATTAATTTTCTTTTCTTCAGGCAGAATGGGGAAACAGAATAGCAAACTGGCCCCTGAAGTGATGGAGGACCTGGTAAAGAGCACAGAGTTTAATGAGCATGAGCTCAAGCAGTGGTACAAAGGATTTCTCAAGGACTGTCCAAGTGGGAGGCTGAACCTCGAAGAATTTCAGCAGCTCTATGTGAAGGTACACTGTTTTTCAATCTCTTTTTTTCTCAGGCTTGGAAAAGTTGTCTTCAAGAAATGTAGCTTAACATGGAATGTCAACTAGGAGTAATCGGTTTATTTCAATTCTGGTGGTTTTTCATCCCAAGGAGAAAAATGGATATCTAAAAAATGAAATATATATGTTTTGTTCCAGAGATAAATCAAGCATATTTTTAACACAAAAAATATTTGTTCAATCAAAACACAGTTCAGAGCCGGAGGAAGAACCATAAAAAAATCTCAGATAATAGTTGTTGATGATTATTGATAAGCTGCTGATTCCAACATCATTTGGTTTGCAAAGAATCCTTGGTGGCACTATGGTTAAGCCCTTGGCTGCAAACCAAAGGTAGGAGGTTCAAACCTACCAACAACTCTATAAAAGAAAGATGAGGCAGTCTGCTTCCATAAAGAGTTGTTGGTGCTAAGTGCCATTGTGTCAGTTCCAACTCAGATCCACCCTTTATAGGGTTTCTGTGGAGTAGCTGGTGCATTTGAACCACTAACCTTGCAGCTCAAACTGACCTTGAGGTCCAGCACATTATCCTGTAGTGCCACACCAGGACTCCTGACTCATAGCAACCCTATACAGAGTTTCCAAGGAGTGGCTAAGTGAGCTTGAACTGCTGACCTTGCAGTTCAAACCAACTTTATTGTGCAACGCATTAGCCTGCAGTGCAGAGTTGCAACCTTTGAAACCCAATGGGACAGTTCTACTCTGCCCTGTGGGGTCACTGTGAGTCTGAATTGATGCAGCAGCAATGGGGTTTGGCTTGTTAGAAGTACCTACACCTCTGTCAGTTAAAAACAGAATAAATGTGACGATCTTTTCACATGAAAAACTCTGATTCCCACAACAGCCCATTTGGAAGAGAGTTCTGGTATACACCTGGACATGAATGTGTACAATGTGAGCTTTAACTCAACATTTTGTACTGTTTAGATTATCTTTCCATAATTGTGCCATAAAAGGTATAAATTATGATATAGTGGTATTGTTTTGTTTGTCTAAATTTGTAAGTTGTATTGATTCTATAAGTTGAGATGGATTGGCACAGTGACAACAACACTGGGCTGAAGCATAACTGAGGATGGCACAGGACTGGGTAGTTTTTCATTCTGTTGTGAAAAGGGTCACAATGAGTCAGAACCAACTTGATGGCACCTAACAGCAACAACAGTTGATTCTAAATTTGGTGTGATCTAAGACATTCCATTTTGTATATACTTGTATAATATTTTGCTGTGGAAGAAGCATATTTTTTCCTTTATTTTTTTTAATTAAACTTCAAAATAGAAAAGAGAGTGTGTGTGTATTTACTTAATTGTAGCAATGAGCAGGAGATTATATACAATAGTAAACATTATCTTTATTTCTTAAATTTCAAATACCCTCACATGCAAGAAGAGACATGTATAAGAATGTGCATAGCTGCACTGTTTACAATTGCAAAACTTGGAAACAACCCAAATGCTTATCAATGGGAGAGTGAAAATGAATTGTGGTAAATCTTTTTAACACATGATGCTGACAAAACTGATTATGTTTTTGTAGAAAATGATACAGGACCCATATCTTTTACCATACACATAAAAAAATTCAAAGACCTAAATATTAAAAGTAAAATTATGAAGTTCCTGGAAGGCAACATAGAAACAAAAGGGTCCTAATTTTCGGCACAAATGTACTAACACAATATAACAAAATATAAATGCACAAACAACAGAAAATAAACTAAGTAATTGTAACCTCCTAAAAATCAAATACTTGTACTAATGCTCATCAAGACTTTACCAAAAAGAGTAAAAAAGAACCTAAAGACTAGGAAAAAAATTTGGTAATGACATATCTGAAAAGGATCTAATAAAACATAAACAACTCAACAACTCAACAACAAAAAAGACAAACAATTCAATAAAAAAAATGGGCAAAGGACATAAATAGACATTTCACTGAAGAGAACATTAAGACATCTAGCAAACACACAAAGAGATGCTCTGGATCATTAGCTGTTGTTGTTACTGTTGTTAAGTGCTGTCAAATCGTTTCCTACTTAACAGCAACCCTATATAGGGTTTCTGAGGAATTAGAAGGATATAAATCAAAACTACAATAAGATACTAAGCTACCCCTACAAAATGTTGTTGTTTTTGTTAAATAACTCGTGTTGGTCTGACTCTTAGCAACCCTGTGTAGGGTTTCCGAGGAGCAGCTGGTTAGCTTGAACTACTGATCTTTCGGTTCAAACCGACCTTGCAGATAAAACAAACAAACAAACAAAAAACAGGCATGAAAAAATGTTGTCAAGGTTATAGGAGATTGCTGGTTGGATTGTAAAATGGTACAACCACTATCGAAAATGGTATAGTGCTTCCTCAACAGAACTACAAATAGGAATACTTTGTTGTTATTGTTGATAAGTACTGTTGAGTCAATTTTGACTCACAGCAACCCTGTGTAGGAGTTCCAAGGAGCAGCTGGTGCTTCTAAACCACCAGCCTTGTGGTTAGCAGTCCAGTGCTTATCCTACAGCACCACAACAGGACTCCAAGAATACTTTAAGATCCTGTAATTATACTCCCAGGTATATATCTGAGAGATATCAGGGCAGTGACTTGAGTAGACATGGGCACACCCTTGTCCGTTGCATTATTCACAACAGCAAAATGATGGGAAAACCTAAGTGCCCATCGTGGATAAATGGATAAAAAAATTGTGGTACATACATGCAATGGGATACTACACAATGATCAAGAATAACGAGAGTTCACAAAACATTTTATAATGAATCTTGAGGAAATTATGCTGATGGGAATAAGTCAAACACAATAGGACAAATATTGCTTTGTTTTGGGTGGAAGGTTGTCAGGTGCTGATGCCGTGGGTTAATGCACTGAACTGCAAAGTTGGTTTGAACCGCAATGTCAGTGGTTCAAGCTTACCAACCTCTCCTCAGAAATTCTACACAGGGTCTCTATGGGTCAGGTCGAAACCAACTTGGCAGCACTTAACAAAAACAACGATAACAACAGCAACAGTGTGTTATTAAAGCGAACCAACTAATTAAATCAGTAACTGAGCGGGCCCTGCACTGATCACTGATGAGTGTCAGGGACCCAGAATTCTAATTAATCAAATGCCACACATCTGAGATACCCCCACAGATGTATAAAAAAACTATATTCTTAAATGTGTGCAGAAAGGCACATATATAGTTGCATGTAGACATTTTATAAGATCACATTGACATTTCTAAGATTTGAATCATTAATTATTATTAGCATGTGGTGGTGGTTATGTGCAGTGTTGTTGTTGTTGTTAAGTGCCATCGAGTCGGGTCCGACCCATAGCGACCCTGTACAGGGTTTCCGAGGGTGTAAATCTTTACGGGAGTAGAAAGCCTCATCTTTCTCCCGCGGAGCGGCTGGTAGTTTCGAACCGCTGACCTTAACGTTCGCAGCCCGATTCGTAACCACTACGCTACCAGAGCTCCTTGGTTATGTGCAGTAGAGGTCCTTTATATATAAGTGCTAAGAAATACTCCATTAATCAATGTGTATAAATTGCTTGTGCAGTGAAGTGAGGTGGCATGTATTTCCTAGATTATTAACATACTTTACAAAGTTTTCAAAGTCACATCTTTTGCCATTGTTATTGTTGAATGCCTATTGGGTCAGTTCCTACTCATAGCAACCCTGTATATGGTTTCCAAGGAGCAGCTGGTGGATTTGAACTGCCAACCCTTGGTTTTCAGTCCAGCGCCACACCAGGCATCCTTGTATCATCCAAAAGTCAATCTGTTTGCCATATTGATATTGCTAAATGTCATGCAGACTGTCACCCTGTGTTTAAGAGAGTTTTGTGTGCTGAATTCCTTGCTTTTTGTTTAAAATGAGAGACATTTTCCTTCGAAGAACAAATTGAAATGCAGGAAATGAAGGGTTCATGTGTATAATGGAAATACTAACACTGCAAAAGCATGACCCTCAAGATGGCAGTCATATCAACACTAAACATGCCTTAGTGCTTATTGTCACAACTGATGTCAATGCACCAAAAGCAGCCCCCACCTCACCACCATATGCCAGGAATGATGGGTTTTGTGTCTGTTTCAGGAAGAGGATTTATGACTTTCTGGATTTCATTTGTATTCTTGGCAGCCTCCAATTTCAGTCTCTTACCAACCATATTCATACTCGGCCTGTGCTCTTGTATCAAATAGAAAGCAGACAAAATCGTCATCTTTTTGCAGAGTTCTTTAAGGACAGAATCCAAAGGAGAATCACAGAGAATGTACCAAGCATACGGACACCAAAAACAAAAACAAAAAAGCAGGCTAGAAGGGAGAAACGTGGAAAAAGGTATGGCTTATGTTACAGGATTCAAGAAAGGAAATGATTGAACACAGTTTCTTTGCTGCTTCTGAAAAATGCAATTATACAGCAAGACTATCCTTCTCCAGTGAATAGGCACTTTCAGCAGTTTCGTCTGTCTTCAGTATGGAGACTGAGATGGTTCCTTCTAGAATTCAGCTGACCAAGCAAAGCTGCTGGTGGCCTCTACCCTCCTGTGTGTAAGGTCTGGCTGGCTCTGCTACAGTTGCTGACCGGTCCTACTCTTCCATATCCAGGAGATGTCCTACAGCCAACTGTGACAAGGGTGTCAGAAAGAGCAGGATAATGGGAGCTGTCCCTCCAGTGGCCCCTCTGCAAAGCTAGGAGCTACAAACCTCCAAATTTGGAACTCTTTGTATCCAAAATGTCCAGGAACTTCTTTCCTAGCTTTACAGTGAAAGAAGTCCTAGTGTGGCGGTGTGGGATAATGCACTGGATTGCAAGGTTGGCGGTTCAAATACACCAGTCGCTCTTCGGAAATCCTATACTGGGTCACTATGAGTTGGCACTAAGCAACAACATTTAAACTGAGACAGCCCCTCTCCTGAAACAACAACAACAAAAAAAAGGCAATTTTCCCAGCCT